GAGCCATGTTTTATTGGTTAAGTCAACAGCATTTATTTCCTGAGCATTCACAGTGTTGAGAGAGAGAAATTAAAAAGCCCTGCCTTCTAGGAGATCATGGTACAGAAGGGTTTTCATGTTGTTTGACAATAAAACTTAGTATTTATTTTCTTAAACCTGCATACTGTGTAATTTCCTAGGACTTACTTTGTTTTGCTATGTAAGAAACTAGCTGGATATAAAAATGAAATCAAGTTGTCTATGAGATCATTTCTGAAACAAACTTTATCAGAGTCCACCCTTTAGAATTTAGAGTTTGATGGGTGTAGGGTAATGAATCAGTAGCCACCTGTTGTCTGACCTTGCCTCATACACTTTACAGAGACCAGCCTCATCTCAAACCATTGTCATTTAATAAAATAAACAATCAGCCCTATACTGCCATGTCCATTGTGAGGGAACGGATTTTCTATCTTACCTCTTTCTTCTCTCCGTCATCATCCCCATTCCCACAGACACACAGGTAAGCCTATTAGGGATATAGTTTGGCATAACAAAAAGAGTGGAGATCATTAAGTTAGATATGAATGGATTTCCTGATGCCATTAGATCTTGGGTAAGTCATTTTATAGCTTCCCTCAAATTTAAACTGAGATAGCTTCGGCTACAGGCTGAATTGTGTCATCTCCAAATTCATATGTTGCCATAACTCCCAATACCTCAAAATGTAACTGTATTTGGAAATAGTGTCTCTGAAGAGGTAATTCAGTGAAAATGAGGTCATTATGATGGGCTCTGGTCCAATATAACTTGGTGTCCTCATAAATAGAGGAAATCAGGGCACAGATGGGTGTAAAGGGAAGACCAGGTCAGGATCCAGGGAGAAGACAGACATTTAGAAACCAAGCAGAGAGACATTAGAGAAAACCAACCGCACTGCTGACACCTTGACCTCGGAATTCTAGCCTTCAGAACTGTGAGGGAATAATTTTGTTGTACCTTGTTAGGGCAGCCCTAATAAACTGATACAGCAACAATATCTGAAGTGAAAAATGTAGGAATTTGAAATATTACACCGTATACTATATTATATAGTATTAATATACAGGGGTGGGCAAAAGTAGATTTATAGTTATTGGTATGGAAAAAGACAACACAAACATTTATTAATTGTTGTAGTATTTATTTGTGTTATTTGTCTATTTTCATACAAACAACTGGAAACCTACTTTCACCCTCGCCAGTATAATAAATTATTCATACACATAGCTAGTTTGAGTATTAACATTGGTATTATCGTTAGTATTATAATTAGTATTGTAAAGTACTACCAAAGGTTTGAGAAAGAAATAATTGCTCCAAAGGAAAAACAATAAGCTTATGATAATTCTTTTAAGCAAAGGGGAATTTAATTGTGTTCTTGGAAGCTTAATACTTAGATCAACTTCAATGTGGAAAGCATCATATTCTTTATCACTAATTATCTTCCTTTTCCTAGTGGAGGAACCCTAAATCTGATGAGAAAAAATAAGTTTTAAAACAAGTTTTCTGCTGAAATGTGTTTCTGAAACTATCATTACTTCTAAGAGTCAGACAGAGTCATGATGTATGTGTTGGTCATCACTTCTGAGTGTGTTCAGAATCTATGTGTGATTTTATTTTACTCATACTTTGGTGTTGTGCATGTGTATGTGTATGTAAGGAATCACAGCGGTGATTCCTCTCAATAGTTGGTATCAGATTTAGAAATAAGCACAATTATTTCGTGTCTCTGCAGACTCCCTGGAAAATTCATGATAACATTCCCATGAAATGGTCTAACCAAGCCTATTTGCAGGAACAGGGTTTGCACATAACATATAATTATCTAAGAAGAACGTGTGTGTGTGTTTAATGATACTTATCACCGAATTAAATAATGGTGGACTTTTTTACTCATTAAGAAATTGGGAGAATGGGTAGAACTTTATTGGTTTTGTCCTTTTCTCCCACCAGCTCCTAGGGAAACTTTGGCATTGGATACAATATATAATGTCTTCACTCTGTGCACAAGTTTCAATTCCAGTATTACCAAGCAGATTTTCTGCTGAACTGAACCAATACTGATTCTGCTGGGAAGTCTTTGAATTGAAATCTTCCTTCTAGAATGAATATTGGGACATTCTCTGAAATGTTGCCTCTATTTTTTTCTTTTTCTTTTTCCTGGCTTAGTGATTTTTGTTTTTAATCCTTATTTCTTCAAGAGAGAAGAAGAAACTCCCCATGTGGAGGGAGTCCTCACCTTGCTGGAGCCTTGTCTAAGAAGTGTTGCCTGGCTGTCCCTGTTGATATACTTAACTCTTAGGCAATGTTGTCAGTTTCTACATAAGCCGAGCAGTAAATCTGATTATTTCTTCGCCGAAGATAAAGGATGTTCTTTAAAACTGATGAAATCTCTTCCTTAATGTTCAGTCCCTTCTGTTTTGCTTTATTTAAGGCTACTTTATCATTGTTTTTGGTGTTTATTTGTAAAAATTCCGAGTAGACAAAATAGATCACAATAAACCATCCATGCGAGGACTGCATCGCAGGGCTGTTTGTAAAATCTGTATCACTTATCACTGACCTAGTGCTCCCTAGTGGGTCCCTCTGCAATACAGAGGTTTTGTTGTGTGTAGTTTTTCCATCTGTTATTTCCCCTCCCTTCCTCCTGGTGAGCTCTTGGTCTCCAGGGGACCCCTTAGGGAAGCTTTGTCTCCTGGGTTAGCAGGACAGCCAGCTGCAGGAAGAAGAGGGCGGGGACAAGGGAGGAAGCTCTGGTTCTACCTTCAGCACCACCACCTTTTCTTTTAATCTCTTTGAGTCACCATTATTTTTTTTTTACTAAAACAGTAACAAAATATTGCTTTGAATACTTCAATATATTGGGGAAGAGGTATCAAATGAGATACTCGCAAAGAAAGCAATTTGAAAACCACTGAATGCTATGAAAATATAAGGCCATACTATTATAACCACCCCAACACAATCAGGTGTGTGTGTGGGGGGGGGGTGGGGTGGCTTGTGACACAATAAATAAAAGAAATCAAGAAACTGTATAACTGTATTCTTGCCCGGCTGCTGTGGCTCAGTGGGTCAGACTGTTCCCACAGTCTAATGTTGGCTTTAGAGGAAGTTGATAGTTACAACTTTCTCTCTGATAAATTGTTATTCTTCTTTTTTTCTTCTCAGTTAGCTTTGCTTTCTTGAATGGTTTTATTTACTTAGGAAAGAATAAGGTATTTTATAAATTGTCACAAAATGTCACGGGCTGATTTGCATTTTTGGTGATTCTATACATTAATCACTGAGTAACCTTCAGCTTTCCAAATAAAGATTAAAGGTAGTGGTGATGACATTTGTAATCATCCACAGAAAGGGAATTATTTAAATTCTTCACAGACGGAGAGATAGCAAGGGTAAATCATTATATACATATTTCTAATTTTAAGAAGCTTTGAGCATGTTTGCGGATGGTGGGGAGCAAACATTGTTTTGCAACTAGAATTAACCATACACTTTCCACACCACAAGCCCAAACTCCCCAGATGATTGGAGGACTTTTCAGACATTGTCTGCTACAGACTGAGAAATTCACAGAAAGAAAATAATGTTATGTTACATGCAATATACAAACTGAGCATCTTGAAGCAGCTAGAATAGTGACCTTTCAAAAATAATAAATTAGATTTTATGTGCCTCAGAGTATAATTTGGCTTAGTGCTTAAAAAACGATGACACATGACATATCCTCCTATTTCTAGCCTCATAGCAGTTTACTTTATTATTTCTAAATGAGCTGCATAACTCATTGCTTCTTCAAACAACATCCTTCAACCCGATATTCTCTGTAAACTGTGGGCCAGTGCTGGAGATTTTTAGTGAATGCTAAAGATATCGGAATGCTTCTCTCATGTTGCTTTCAAATATTTTTGAGGATTGGATCAAGTTCGGTGGGAAACGTAGGAGACAAGCTGATCCCAAATGGTCTTTGAACTTGGAGATGAATAGTATATGGAAGTACAGTCTGTGCGACACGTACTTACCAGCCTGGGACCTGCAGGCATGCCCTCTATTCTGGTGACCAAATTGCAATGCTTTTCCTCAAATTCAAATTTCGAAAGTTGTTTAATAAAAACAGATGTTTTCAATTTATGAGACGCAAATGTTTCCTTTATTTTTTGTCCTGCTTGCTTTCTAAGTATTTTTAAATTAATATCTTCTTACTGACCCCTGGGTTTATAACTAATAATAGTAAAAACACAAGTTATATTAGTAAATAATGGGAAAAACACTGATAAACTCACTAGTCATAATTGACAACATCACTTATCATTATACTGAGAATATTTTTTCTGTCCCTTATATCTTCTTCTTGAAATTTAGTTTGGAAAAGAGGGTGGAACGTACGTTATATTATACCACAGAAACACCACTGCTTGGGGAAAATAATAAAGCTAATTTTCCAAAGGCCTCTGAAATTAATTTTTATCATCTCTTCTATAGCAACATTACAGTGAAATGGGCCTATTCTGTTAGTCATGTACGTTGGTTTCCCGAGGTCACACTTTCTTCTCTCTGGGGTGTAGAGCTCCAGGCATGGAAGGATGAGGCCTCTGGACCCTCCAGGTTGCCTTCAGTTTGGTGTGGTATCTCTGGAACTGCTCCCCACTCTGCGGACAAGAATATCCCAAGAGCTAAGTGACACGTACAAAGTGCTCAGACACCACCCGTCAACTGCCCTCTGCCATGAGGCAGCAGGAACTGGAGATGTTCAGAATGTCGCTCGCTGCCATCTGCTTTGTTATTAATTCATTGTGCCTGCATCTTTAATTTGGGGTGACAGCCGCCTTTGGAGGTTGGGATGTCATCCCTCTCAGTCACCAAATACGGGCGTGCGGGGCGTTTCCTCTCCACAGCTGTCTGCAGCGTCTCGGCCGTTTGCCTACATCTGCCGATGTGCGATTCGCCGCCCTGACGGTCCCTCTGTCCTTGTTTTGCAGCGGGCGCCACGTACATCTTCGGGAAGAGCGGAGGCCTCATCCTGTACACCTGGCCGGCCAACGACAGGCCCAGCACGCGCTCGGACCGCCTCGCCGTGGGCTTCAGCACCACCGTGAAGGATGGCATCTTGGTTCGCATCGACAGCGCACCGGGTCTTGGTGACTTCCTCCAGCTTCACATAGTGAGTACCAGGCCTTGGCCTGGAGTCTCTTGTCCTCCTCGTGGTCTGAGTTAGGCAGCCAGACACGTGAAGCAGAACATTCTAGATGGACACAGCAAAGGGGTACATGCTTATGAAAACTGCCTGTGTGTGTCGGCGCCCCATCCGAGGGTGCTCTGTGTGTTTAGCCGCATTCTCTCTTTCATCTGTGAACCCTGAATCCCCTAGGAAGCCTCAGGGATACAAAATAAAAAACTCTTCCCATCCAGACTCCCTTCCTAACCATGGCGTTTGGCCTGTAAGGACACTTTTGTCAGCTGGCTTAAGTGTAAATAAGAGATTTACCTGGGGTAGTTCGTCTTAACCTGGTATAAGCAGCAAAGCCAATTTGTATGTTCATGATCTCTTGGGCTAGGGGTCAGCAACGTTTTTTATAAGGGGCTGCAGAGTAAATCTTTTTGTCTTCGGGGGTCATACTGTCTCTGTCAGAACGACTCAGCTCTGCCATGGCCATGGGTAAGCAGATGTAGGCAATCTATGTTTTAAGTGTCTGTGACTTTTCCAATAGAAAAGGTGTTTATTCAAATAGGCTGCTGGCTGTACTTCGGTGACCCTGCTGGGGGCTGTGAGCTTCCTCGGAGAGATGGGACATGCTTGTGATACAAACTGAGGCCAGAGTGGGCGGGGCCGAGAGCAAACAGCACAATGATCCAAAATCGGTGTATGCGTGTGTATTGTATATTCAACAGCCCTCTTGTGTACAAAACCCGATAGGACTGCACCCTCAGTCTGCAGATCATTAAGAACACAGCACCATTCTAAGAAATTAAAATGATTTGGGGGGAAAATTACTTCGTTATGAGGATAGAAAATATTTTTATAGCAACAATTAACCCATTTTATCACCTGTGCGGGCTGCAGTTAAGAAAGTAGGCTAACGGAGGATATGATTCTCATCCATAAGTACCCCGAGTGCAGCCACCAAAAGCAGAGAGGAATTGTTCTCATTAGTTAGCCGTGACAAGGCTAGAAAGAATGGATTTAATTTGGAGCAATAAGAATTCGGTTTAAATAGCGGGGGAAAATGCAGTTAAGAGGAAAGATCAACTGGGGATTACCTCCAACCTCCAAAAAAGAGGGAAAAAACCCTTTACTGGGGATCTTTGCATGCGGTTTGCTAATGTGCTGGTCTTCCTGGGAAAGCAGAGGGTGGGGCTTCATTGTTGGTCTCCTGAGGGGAAGGGCTGTCTGGCTGGTACCACAGGCAGCAAGCTCAACCCTTGGGGCAGTGCCCACCTCCAGCCGCTGCTCTTCCAACATGCCTTGGAAATAGGAGCAGCTTGAAGTATAAAGCTGGAACTGGAAACCTGTCTGGTCTCTGTGAGCCAGGACAGTGTAGGACTCCGTTTAGTTCAGGGAAGAGCCAGTTACAAGTGATCACTTTCACTTTAAATATGTGGCAGAGAGGTTTTGCATAGAGGTGTGCACCTTGAATGCTTTCTCAGATGCTTCAGGAATCACTTGGTACTATGAGCCCAAGCTTAAGCATTTAAAAAGCCATGCCAAGGAGCACAGAGAACAGCAGCCATAGTTAGTAGGGTTTATCTTTATTTGGCCTGTAAGAACGGCCATCATTTACAAAACTCAGTGAGATTTATGCTGCCTCTAACTTAATGACTATTTCATGGCAGCTATAACTAGGCGATTATTACCAGCTCACTTGCATTTTCCTGGTGATTTATCTTCCTTTCTCATTCAGTGTGACTTAGAAAAATATGATTTGGCACAGCCATGAGCATCTTTTTTGAGAGAGATAACGGGCTACCAGTTTGCCCATTTCTCCCATTGGTGTGTTATAAAGCATCTCTGCTTTTAAGATAAATGTTTTCTGACAGTTTTCTTGCAGTGGGCACTGTTTTGATAAAATGGAGGTGAGGATTCTGGGAAGTTCCAGGAGGATCCATACATTCCATTTTGACAGTTGAAAAGCAAAAGTGCAAGAAATTGTACTTCACAATGTGTAGTACCCTCTTGGATACTGTAGACTTAATCCAGTGGTGCTGCCTCTGCCTGAACATTGTAGAAAAGCCAAACAGGTCATCTGTCCTTCCAAGCTTGGGGTAGAAAAGGACACCATCTGATACTTTTTAGAGAAAAGAAAGAGACCTCATGATGTGGAGAAACCACTGTTCTGGAATGAACCAGAAATGTCGGTGGCCATCTGGAGCATCTTCACTGGTCTAGTAAATTTAAACCATTTTTTAATACCCTAACGGATTATCTCTGGTGTCTATCAGAGACCAAAATTGTACATGACTGTATTCCAATAAAAATAGGCTGCGGGCTCTGCCGCGGTGACCTCCGCCTTCGGGCTGCTTCCTCTAGAGGTGGAAAGGATATGTAATTGACACGGAGTCCAGATGGGGCAGGGCAAAGGGAAAACTCCTGCCACGCTCAGGAATGAAGGAATCCGAGTGGAAGATCGAAAGACTTGATCACAAAACCAAAGTCTTCTTTTGAACATTTACATAGGTGCATCAGGAAAATGAAGCCATAAATACATACCGAGGTACTTTCATAGGACTTTTACAATCTGTAAAGCGTGGATTTGTTTATCGAGCACAGTTTGTTTCCTTACACTAAAGAAAATTGCTCCAAATGAAAGAATTGAAAGGCCATTCATGAAAGCAGAAAGGGTGGGGCAGGAGGGGAAGGATTTGATTCCCCCTTGAGTTCACCTAGGAGGAGAGCGATTGGGGGGGTGATGGTGGGCATGAAGAGGAGATGGAAGTGGGGCGAGTCTCAGGGACAGGGGAGAACAGAAAGAAGTGGGCCTGGGAGAGAGAGGACTGGCTGCCCCCAGATGTGCCCAGCAAGGGGCCGCGTGTGGGCAAAGCTGCTGCTTCCACGTGGGTCTTATCTGTGGAAACAACCAAGCCTGTTTTGGTGCAACTTCTGATTGGTTGTGAAGCTAGTAAGTTGCTCTAAAACAAACTATAAACTCTGAAATTAGCAAGCGCACGCGTGTGTGTGTGTGTGTGTGTGTGTGTGTGTGTGAGAGAGAGAGAGAGAGAGAGAGAGAGAGAGAGAGAGAACATTTGAGATTTCATGCTTTATAAACTGGTGCTGAAAGCACTTTTTAGGAATTCCTGAAGTGTTTTGGGTAGCAGTCACACTGTCATTGGAATAAGCCCTTGTCACCCCCAAGTGATGACATTTGAAGGAAGAGAAAATGCTGGTCCAAGAACATCAGGGGGTCTGGCCCTGAGCTGAGCACCCATTCCCGAAGAACCCGCCTGCCCTGGAGTCCCCGCAGGGGCGGCGAACGGCTCCCCCTGCCGGTCAGCTCCCAGTGCCTCACTCTCCCTTCAGCTTCACCTTGGGAAGGTTTGTGAGGGCAGCAGGCAGGTCCCGCAGGCAGGAGTCCTGGTGCCCACAGCCATGCCTGCCACCTGTGCAGAAATGGACTTCGTGGACGAACCTATGCTGCCCATGCATTACCCTTGCTCTAGGCTACACACTACCCTCCCTCTCCTACCAAAACTTCCTCCTTTCTTTTCCTTTGTCTTCCTGAAATCTCCACACGTTGAAACCTCTTTAGGAAAATAGATACCTTGTTAAACTCACATCCCTCTGGAGGCCCTGACCTCACTTACTGACTAGTTCAAGCAGTACCTGCTTACGCGACCTTCTCACACGTGGCTGGGGTCTGCGGCTCTACCAGAATTCGAGTTTTGTTTGGAGAGTTAGGGGGAAAGGAGGAGAAATGAGCATGATAACTTGGGGATCTATGACACTTGGGGGGATGGCAGGGATATGTGGGGAGAGCTTGGGCGGAATGAAGTCCTCCGTGCCCTAAGGAACGAATTTGTGGGAAAAGGGGTGGAAGGCGACGGGACAATCTGGGCAGGAGCTTAGCCACAGTTCTTCCTATCTCAGGGTGTGCTCAGGTGATCTGTTGTTTCGGCCCAAGGGGCCCAGGCTCTCCTTGCTTTTTCTCGTTTCTTTTAAATCTAAGTTTCCCCACGCATCTGGGCCTCATGGTGGTTAAATAGACTTTGCTAATAAGTTTTGACTAAGACTAGAATTAGATCATTGGCAAAGATCAGAGAAGACCAAGAGATCAAATGATTGAGAGAGGGTGCCCTTCAAATAAGTTTGCATCTCTTCGTTTTTAGTTCCTATTTCCCTGATGCACTATTTTCTGTATCAGCGACGGTAGTAATGAAATCACAGATAACGTATGTTCAACAGAGGCAACACAATGTTTGTTGACATATGTGCACATGAAGCGAAATTCTGGGGGCGGGGAGGGTACCTGAAGGTGGAGGGATTTTTAAAAATTAGTACTTCAGCTATACGTTTGCTCCATTGAAGTCTGTCGCTGAGAAAGGAATCTGCTCAATGCGTGGAGAACAGCTGCTGTTACTTGCAAGTGACACCTGCCGCTGACTCCGTGAGGCTGTGGCGCGGGTCATGGCACACTCACCTCCATTTGTACAACAGGGAAAAACTGAACAGGACCGCAGAAGGGACCGCTGTGGAGGGCCCACCGTCCCGGTCAGGAAACTCCACACACTCCCTTCACCCCTTAGAGGACAGAGGGGTGGGAGAACTGGGCACCCATGAGCTCTTCTTTACATGGTTACTGCAGAGTGTAAAAAAAGGCATCCTATTCATTTCTTTCTCCTTGTGTGCAATGGACAGCAAGGCCTCTTGGATTCGTCCTTGTCAGGAGCAGTGAAAATGCACGTGTCGGGAGACCTGTTTTGTTCGGTCAGAATCTGTAACTTCCGCCTCGGTTCTCCTTCAGCCTTGCGGGTAGTTACAAGGGGGTGGACACAAAGGATGCTGTCCACTGTCTGCCCTTTCCCAACGGCAGAGTGTTCTCCTTCCCAAACTGCCTCCCCTGCAAAAGAAAGGCTGGTAGTATTCTCTCCAGGGTCATGTTCAGGGAAGTGGATATTCATTAAGTTTGGTTTGGATAGTATTGTTATTTCATAATTTATGTCATTTGGAGA